TTTTGAAGTTGGGAGCACCAGTGCTACCAAGTAAAAAAGTTAATTTCGAGCCCTGTGTTTTATTCTACAACATAGAATACACGAATAATACCACATTAGTGATTTTTTTGAAGCCTTGAAAAACAAGTAAGCATCTAAATACAGGAAAACTCAATGTGCGTATGTGCATGCAAAATTTGTATTATGTTTATGATGCTCACGAGTTAATTTGACCCTCAAATTTATGGTCAGCGGCAACTATATTAAATATATTTAAAAATGTATGCGTTTTGTTATGCCACTACCCTCTGAGGGTATTTACATTTACACATTTGGCATTTAAAAAATAATTGCTACAATGCTGCTTATAATAATATTCATATTTTTTGAAAATGAAAAACAAAACTTGTTAAATACAGTTTGAAAATCACATGTTGTATTATTTGGTTTTATTGTAATGTGTGAGAAGCATTAAGATAAAGGTTTACTATTTTTGTTCGTTTTCATAGTGTGATTTTTGGTAAATTGTATTGAATCAAATTAGTGTCAATTTGAGCTGCAACATAGAAGTCTTACCCATTATTCAAACATAATACAAGGGTTCATTCTGGTGATTTTGATTTTAGGCTTCAAAATTCCTAACAGCTGTGTTAATTTGTGAGGATTATCTTGAATAAAATGTGTACGAAAAAAATCCAAAGGCTAATGGAAAAATTCAAAGGCTTTTACTTGAGGGAGCCAGGGTGATGCAAACTTCTGGGCTGAACTACAAACATATATCAGCCCTGCAGCACTCTATATTTTTGAAGTGAATGTTGAGTAAATATTGTGTAAAATAAATGTTCATTTTGGGAATATACTGCATACTGCTGTCAAGATACTGGCATCAGCTATTGAAAAAGCCATATCGATTGACGACTACCATGAGGTTTATAGATCCTTAGCACAGCTCATGAGGACTGGACTTACTGTTGGTTTTGAGTCGAGCAGGTTCGCTGTTTCTGCTGCCTGCCTGGTTGATAGCCTTCACGAAAAAGATGTAACGGGTGCCGCTCTGCAGGCCGTGGACTGTGTAGTGATTCTGTTTGATATTGGGCACAATCATCCAGCTATCTACAGAGTTATACAGACCTGCAAGGTAAGAGAGACAGAGCATAACATCAATCACAGATTCAGCATATGTTTTTACAATCACTCTTTAGTCAGGTCTGTGCTAGCACTCATTATTAACATAGAAGAATAGTGCAATAATAACCACTTACCAATACATTTTTGAACAGTGTGATTCTAAAAAGGGAATGGTACATATGAAGTTCATTATTCAAGGCATGCCTATTTCTGTTTGATGTGAAAACACATATAGCACACGTTCGTAGAGAGACTCGGGATGTTTGCCTCAGGCAAACAGATGCCCCTCAATCCAGTTTCTCATGATGAACCAGAATGTCCTCAGGAAACATCAGCAATGCCATTAAAACCACTGGCATTGCCACTCAAGGTCTGTCATGTGTCAGTGTGTGCCATACAAATGGCAAAAGCACTTCATAAGTACTTAAAAATGTAATGTAATAATTTTGAGTGCATTTTATCTAAATCAATTACAATAATATATCAACAACTGGCCATCCTGCTCTCCAGATATATTCCATGCAATTAGAATTACAAATTCCAAAAGATATGATGTAGTAAAATAATGAATAATGATGATGACGATGATGACAATAATGCAAAATTTACTAAAAATGAATTTTGAATATTAACATTATTCATATTGTTTATATCAGTTATATTAATATATTAGCATTGTCTCACCTACTGGCTATTCCTCTTCTCTTCTCAAAACAAAACAAAAACAAAACAAAACCACATGTCTAAGGAATAAAGATGCCTTCTTATAAATGTAATTGCATATAACTTTAAGTATTCAAGTAAATAAAAAAGTATAACATCTGATGACTGGATGAAAAAGAAAGCAAAGCTTATAAAGTATTAACCATTCACATCCACCAACTGCATGTCTGTAATATTTTTTCATGAGCAAAAAAGTCATTTGATCCACGTCCATATCAAAAAGGCGTTTGATGTTGTTGTTTGATGAATGGAATTAGCATAGCAGACTACAATATGCTGCTTACATTGTAAATTCTCTGCTGTTGCTCGACATTCAGAGGGAGAGAGACTTCAAAGAGGGTCAGATGAAGGTATGTGTCATTGGCTAAAAAGAAGGCAGGGTGAATAGGGATCCTAGACCGTGCATAAGTGAGTGTGTGTGTGTGTGTGTGTTGGCAGATGAAAGGGAGCTAAAACACAAAACTGGAACGGGGGTGCTCCCAATACTGTCGGCAAATCCAAACTAGCCTTTGATGCTTCTATTGTGTGTGTGTGTGTGTTTCCATGATTATGCATGTGTTTAGATGTCATCAATGCCAACAGGACATGTACTGTCGTAAGAAGAATTATTCCTGGTATGTTAAGATTATGGACAGTATGTGCATGTGTTATGATCCCACATGAACATATTTTCTTAGAGATGCAAAAACATATGGTCACATTCACCGCAAAAATAATGTCTCACTTCTGATCGGTGGCCACTGTGGACTGTGTCTTCATTTCACATTCACATTCTTGGGCAGCTCTCCAAAGCCCAGCTTATGAATATCTTAAGGTACAAAGACCTTGGCTTTGGCAGAAACCACTAAAAAGGAACAGAAACCTAGCATCATGATGCACCGTCTTACGACGACCAACGCCATCATGCAAAAATAATATGACACTTAATCAATGCCTTGCTGACCAGTCTTGTGATTATCTGCTCAATGATGGTGCTTTGAGATGCACTTCAGATACAGGAAGAGAAATATCCACCATCAAGGCTGAGGATAAATCATGGAAGCAGGATGGGAATATTGACCCGGTAAGCATGTCGCAGATGTCTGTGAAAGTGTACATCAACCACAAAGATGTGCTCACCTTTAAGCATGTTATTTGAGCAATATGGAATGAAAGGCTATGCTATACTGTATATACACTATTGCTCAAAAGTTTAAGGTCTGTAAGATTTTTTAAATGTTTTTGAAGCAATATCTTATGCTCACCAAGCTGACATTTATTTAATCAAAAATAAAGTAAAAACAGTAATGTTATGAAATATTATTTCAAATGAAATTAATTTGATCTTTTTTAAAGTTTTAAAGCTGAAATTCAGCATCATTACTCCAGTCTTCAGCATCACATGATCCTTCAGAAATCATTCTAATATGCTGATTTGCTGATCAAGAAACATTTATTATTATTATTTTTTTTCAGAATTCTTTGATGAATGGAAATTTGAAGGAATATCTTATGCTCACCAAGCTGACATTTATTTAATCAAAAATAAAGTAAAAACAGTAATGTTATGAAATATTATTTCAAATGAAATTAATTTGATCTTTTTTAAAGTTTTAAAGCTGAAATTCAGCATCATTACTCCAGTCTTCAGCATCACATGATCCTTCAGAAATCATTCTAATATGCTGATTTGCTGATCAAGAAACATTTATTTATTTATTTTTTTTTCAGAATTCTTTGATGAATGGAAATGTGAAAATAGCAGCATTTATTATTTTGTTAAAATATTTATTTAAGATTTTTTGTAATAATTTGAAATCTTTTAGAAATTTCTTTATTAATGTTTTTACCTTTGATCAATTTAATGCAACCTTGCCATATAAAACAATTTATTTCTTTAAAAAAAAGAAAAGAAAAAAAAAAGAGTTGGTAGTATAAGCAATCAATCCATCATTTAGAGAGAATTATTATCAGGGTCAAAATATATATATATATTTTTAAATTAACATTTGTCCTTAGAATAAAAATTTTAAGAGGCCTTTTTAATACGTGTCTGAGCTAACTGCAGTTTCTTCATTTAAAACCAATTCATATGAGCTTTAAAATCAACAATACTTATCTCTGAGAAAAATTGTATGTAGCAAAAAACACTACAACTTTTCTCAAAATGTCTTCTTTTGTGTTCCACAGAGAAAAGAAAACATCCCTTCAAATTCTGACTTACTGAAATTACATACAATAGCTGACTAACAGCTCTGTCAACACACTCTCACCGTTCTCTGCGTGGGTTTGTCTATATATAAAATTTGTTGGCGTTTTCAAGGTTGCACAGCACATTGAGCTAGTGTTTTGTGGGGACACACATTATCAAATGAACAAGAGTTTTGTTGGAAAACAGACACACAGAGTCAGATGACCATAATAGGGTCTTTTGTTAGACTGGTCTGACCTCATTCATGTTTGTACAACTGTCAGCTTTACAGTTGTGTTCGACCACGTGTTTGCTGGCCCTCGTAACATCCACGTCTCTCTCGTTTTCCATAAACTGCCCATGAGTCACGACACACGTCCCTGAGTAAGAGGTGCGCACGTCAGATTAGGCGATGTGGCCCGTTTCCACTACAAGGACAGCGGCATTTGCATACTGTTTGCTGCAGGTTAGCATGCCAGTCCGGCGGCTTGTATCACTATCAATCAATGTCACAATGAGCGCGGAGCAAAGAGCATTAGCTCGTGTCAGATCTAATCAGTGCTGATGCCAGGCCAGTGCCCTCACTTTCACAGAGCTGACGATAAAGTCTGCAGACAAACCAGAGCTGCTCTTTCAACAGAACCTCGAACAACGCTTTTCTGCTTTAAAGTCCATTTTACAGCTAATTTATTCTATTAGCTTGAGTTTCGGCTGATGCATATGAATTTTGTGCACATTTAATTGATCGCAAAAGGTCGGTTTTCCAGTCATGGCAGCTGTGCAATTACACATATTGGACTTGAGTGCACTACAGGGGGAATGTATAGATTTTTACATAGCACATGCCTCTTATTTTATGTCTAAGGCATGGTATTGGCATACAAACTGACGGATCACAATAAATGAAAAAGATCCTGCATGTTATCCAGCCTGAGCCCTTGAATATTATGCTTTTACTATGAGAGGCTTGCAAAATGTAATATATTTTTGCTAAAGGGAACATAAAGCAAGCCATCAATTTCACCGGCCTGCAAATATGATAAACGATAAAACGCAAGATAAAAAAAAAAACAATATACAGACATTATTCCATTAAAAATTCCTTGAAACTAAATGTGATTGAACTTCTTCATAGAAGGAAATCCATCTAGAGCTGATAGATCCTGACTGGGGGCCGGAGTATTTTTTGGAGCCACTTTGCCTGACTTGGCCAACGGCTGAGAAAATGCACCAGCAAAGACTCACATTTCATCTCAAGGGAGTGAAGCATACGCATCTAAGAATTGCAGCGTTTAGGCATCCGCATTCAAAGAGCAATGCTGTAAAAAGGTCTGGGAAGAAAGCATTGCTCTCCATTTCTGTGTCTGTTTGTTTGTATCCTCTAAGGAGCCTGCGGTAGCTCTGTAGATGTTTCGGGGCTTCTAAACTAGCAGCGGTTGAAATTAATATACCGTGTTTGTTACTGAAGCGGGCTGAATGGAAACTGAGGAGCAGGTCTGTGAGTGAGAGAGTGCTATTTCTGTACTGTTCAAGCCCAAACAAGTTATGCATGTCCTGGCCTTTAAGCAATTAAGCCTTAACAGCTCTTTCACTCCACAGATTCGTAAAAGCTAGACTTAGGGCTTTTATTTGCAGGTGCACCAACAAAACAAAAGGTATAGGGGGACAGGTAGGTGTTCAAAAACACTATGAATCCTTTGGAAAAGTTTTATGGGTATACAGCAGTAATTCTGGTGCTTCAAAAAGTAATGCAAAAACGATTAAACTAAATGCTAAATGTAAATAATAAAATGAAAATAAAATGATATACACTACTGTTGAAAAGTTTGTGGTCAGTAAAATTTTTACTTTTACAGTAAAATTCTTACTTATGTGGCAAGAACGCATTAAATCGATCAAAAGTGACAGTAAAAACAATGTTAAAAAATCTATGATTTTTCACAAAAATATTAAGCAGAACAGCTGTTTTCTACAGTGCTAATAGTAATGGCTGCTAAAAATTAAGCTTTGTCATCACAGGAAAAAAATACATTACATAATATATTTAAATAGAAATTTTTTAAATAATATTTCACAATATTACTGTTTTTATTGTATTTCTGATTAAATAAATGCAGCCTTGGTGAACATAAGAGATCGTAAAAAGTGTGCATATTATATTATAAAAAATATGAATAAAATATTATTAATTAAAAATAAGTAAAGTAAATTAAATAAAAGATAAATAAATAAAAAATTAAATTAAATGGATTAAATTAAAATGAATTGAAAAAAGTCACAGTCACATCCATGAGTCCTATTTGTTTTATTCCTATATAAAGCCTAAGATGATTTTTTTAAAAATTGATGGGCTTGTGCAGTCCTTATATATAATATATATATATATATATAATATATGTATAATATTAATACTATAATAAATCTTTGTTTACATTTCTATGGCAAAAATTTTGGTACTGTGTAGGGTCACAACTTGACGTCTAATGGAAATTGTTTGTGAACAGAAGCAAAAGATATAAATGTTGGTTTGATGGTAAAAGAGTGAGATAGCAAGCTGTGCAAGGTGTGTATTTAGACTCACTGATGAAGTTGGTCTGGCCAGTGTAGATGGTGTACTGAAGCTCATAGGAGGTGACGCTGAATTCATCTTCAGAGGTCCAGTGCACTGTTACGGTGTCATGCGAGGCCGTGCAGAGCTCTTCACGTATAGATGGAGGGTTGGGTGCTGGAAAAGAAGGCAATCGTCGAGACGGGATGTATTGATTCACTTCTGCTGATGTAATTCTGGCCATATCCCGGATACAGCATGTATTCATTAACTTTGCACTGCATACACAGAAGGCACCTGTAGAAGGTGGTTTCAGTTTTCTCACTGGTTTTACCTGTCAAGTAATCCAGTCCTTCCAGAATTTTCTTTTCTCTGGAGAAATCAAGGGCAAAATTGTCAAAAGCCTCGTTCAGATTGACGTCTGGGATGAGGACCTGGGAGGAGGCGGTGGCCATGGCAACTCTGGGAGGAAAGAGAGGCACTGGCAATTAATTTATAAATGTTTCTATTTACAACAGTCTATTTACAGGCTATAAGGCTGTATGTGATTTCACCCACAGTGACAGAAATTATAAACAGCATCTGGCAGCGCTCAAACTCAGAGAAGTGTGTGAGGCACATGAAATTCAAATAATACAGAAGACTGTACAGTCTACCAAAACCACTGAAATTTTACAGTTCTTGATAACAATTCTGATGCCACGACATTGTATAAAAAATAAATATATATTTACAATAACGATATTAGAAAATAATGGCATGTATCCTTTAACTATTGCTATATTATTCAATATTATATTTATTAAAATCTATAAAATATTTATATATATATAAATATATAATACTTTAAATAATTAGTTTTTATTTTAAGGAAACATTGTTTCTAGGTACAAATTTTTAAGTAAACGATCAGTAAGTAGGAAAAAACATTAAGAACAGTAAGCAGTTTTCTCTTTTCTATAAAAACTAAAATATTTATAATTGTTAGTTCATTTAGAAAACACTGTTTTAAGGCAGATTTTTAGTAGACAGTCAGTAATAAGGAATAAAAAACATTAAGATAAGTGAGCAGTTTTCTCTTTTTCATAAATATTATAAAATGTTTGTATAAATATTTTTCATAAAATATTTATACATATAATTATTACATTTTTGTTTCATTCAGGGAACATTGTTTTTAGGTACATGATTTTAAGTAAATAGTCAGTAATAAAGGACCAAAACCCCCCCCCCAAAACATTAAGAACAGTGAAAAGTTTTATTTTTATAAAAAAATATTCATACATATAATCACTCAATTTTTATTTCATTAAGTATCATTGTTTTTGAGTTTTCAAGTAAACTGTCAGTAATAAAGAACAAAAAATAGACATTAGGATCAGTGAGTTTCTCGTCAAAATTGTTGTATGATTAATATTATTGCACAATATTATTTAGCCAGCATTCGGTCTATTAGACTGCATTTACACTGCCTAATGCACAGATATGATAATGCAACACAGATCCCTCCTGTTTTTGTACCCGTTTACATTTCCACAAAACAAACCGCCTGTGTTTACATTAATTGCTCGTCAAAACCGCATGACAACACAAAGTCTCTCTCCACACCAAGAGCTGCACAAATATTGTTAAATATTGAGTCCTGAAGCCACAAGCAGCAGAACTGAAAGGAGGAGGCGGCACCAGGAAATGTGCAGAGTAGCTGAAAGTTGAATTCACGCTGGCAGAGGCAGTGACGGTGTGTGTGTGTGTGTGTGTGCGGTCTCACCTCTCTGCCACATTCCTGGCCGTCTGGAGGAAGCGGGTGTGGTCGTTCTCCTTCAGACTGTGCTCAGCCTGTGTGATGAGGGCACTCGAGCGCTCTAGACACTGTCTGCAGTTCGCAATCTGCTGGGCCAGCTTCCTCAACTTCATCACCTAAACCCACACACATGCTTTTTACAATATATCCACATTCTTATGAGAGATAATGCATGGAGCTGTTATTACAACTTTCTAAGCTATTAATATTATAAATGTTTACATTCCCCAAGATGTTATGAAAAATAATGGACCCTAATGGAGCATTTGATCAAAAACTCATTATTACCCCTTGGCTCATCATCACAGCCAAATGAGCCCTTTGCTTTGTTTGCGTTTTGTGTAATTACAGCTGAGAAACAATAAAGTGACGGATTCTGATTTTCAGTTACTTTTAAGGACTCATATAAATGCTGAATTAGCATGAACTGTTAAAGACTTTGCCTGAATGGAAAAACAAAAGCATATTTCATTCTGTATAAGATGTCTGTGAAAAAAATGTGAGCCAAATCAATTACACAAAGTCTCAGAGATTTTAACAAGAAAAGAGTATGGCCCAATCCAGACTGCATTGCAAAGAATCTAATTTAAAGCTGGAATACCTTTAAATGTTTCATATTTCTCATATTTCTTGTGTCTGGCTGGATAGCTTTTCAGATTTCCTCCTTGCATAAAAATCAACTTTCTGCATTCATATAGAATTTAACTGATGTGTGGGTCACAGGTGAGCTTGTTTCAGCTACTTTACAACATCCCAAAATATGACTTATCCCGTCAGAATTTACTAGTTTAACTGTGTTGACAAAGTCTTATACTTTTATACTAAAGTTCAAAAGTTTGGGGTCAGTAAGATTTTGTAATGATTTTTGAAATAAGTCTCATTTGTTCACCAATTATTCATTTATTTGAAACGGTTGGCTGCTCAAGAAACATTTCTTATTATTCTCAATGTTGAAAACAGTTGTGCTCTGATACATAACCCTGATACATTTTTTTAGGATTCTTTGATGAATAGAAAGTTCAAAAGAACAGCATTTATTTGAAATATTTTTTTCTATTAACATTCTACTAACATTAAATATAAATTAATATTGAAGTAATACTTTCTTGCTAAATAAAAGTATTCATTTCTTTAAAAAGCTGAGGCCAAACTTTTTAGTGGCAGTGTATATGAATAATATCTTTTGGTTTGTCTCCATCGGGATTCATTTCATTCAGAGTATGAAAAGACAATGCAGAAAAGCAGAACGGATGTGGCGGAAGACTAAACTTGAAATCCACTATAGCATATATAAAGATAGCCTTCGTGCTTTCAATGTGGAACTAGGCAAAGCTAGTCACCGGCCTTCCCAAGAAGACCATTAGACAGCTGCAGCTCATCCAGAACGCTGCTGCCAGAATTCTGACTAGAACCAGAAAATCTGAGCATATTACACCAGTCCTCAGGTCCTTACACTGGCTTCCAGTTATATTTAGGATTGATTTTAAAGTACTTTTACTCGTTTATAAGTCACTCAATGGCCTAGGACCTAAATACATTGCAGATATGTTCACTGAATATAAACCTAACAGACCACTCAGATCATTAGGATTAGTCAGTTAGAAATACCAAGGGTTCACCCAAAACAAGGGGAGTCTGCTTTTAGTTATTATGCTGCCCGCAGTTGGAATCAGCTTCCAGAAGAGATCAGATGTGCTAAAACATTAGTCACATTTAAATGCAGACTCAAAACTCATCTGTTTAGCTGTGCATTCATTGAATGAGCACTGTGCGATGTCCGAACTGATTGCACTATATTCTATGTATAATCGTTTTCTTAAATTCATTTTAAACTTCTTAAATCAATTGTTTTAATCATTTTCAATGTTTTTAAATTCCTTGTTTTATTGTTGTGATTATTTTTTTTTTCTTTTCTTTTATGTAAAGCACTTTGAATTACCATTGTGTATGAAATGTGCTATACAAATAAACTTGCCTTGCCTTGCCTTGCCTTCATTACAAAAGGAAATTATTCAAATGAGATGATATGCATTTGACTTGCAAAGTATATTATAATTCTATAGATTATACAAAAATAGGCATTACTACATTCCATGCTTAAATATAAAACATATTGGTCTGAATTTACATAAAAAATAAAAGAATTTCCAGCAATATCCAGCAATCTTATATATACCGTTACCATAATATAATGCACTCATAGCATGAAATACGATTTTGCCCACAATACCTGACCACAGATTTACTATGAATTCAGCTTTCCTTCAAATAACCCCATGTTTCATGTGCGTATTCATTATTTTTCTTTCGCGAGGGAATGAGAGACATTAGCTATGCTTCCTCAATAAGCCAGTAAGTCGGTTAAGCAGGATCTAGCCTATGCCACAGTGTAATTCAATAGAGGAATGGGACGACTGACAGGAAGGAATGATTGGAAGCATTCAGATAAATCAAGAAACAAGGAGAGAAAAATGTTGCTCGGTGCCGAAGTGGATTGCATTACATCAAATCCCAATCTGACCCCATTTCTTAAAGACAATTCAAATGATTTGCTTTGATGAGATGGTGCACTGCCAAAAAGTTTCAGAATTTCAGGACGGCATTAAAGAAACTGGACTGCATCAGAAAAAAAAAAAAAAGTAAATCATTCAAAAACAATCCAGTAACAAACAAGCCTGAACAGCCAAAGCCTCAGATCAAATCTTACAGACACTTTGCATCTGGGTTTATGATTCCAAAAGCCTCTTTAATGCTAGAGATACAGGCACTTTGTGCTGGAGCTGCATTACTGATGTTTGCAAAAGGCCAGACATAATCTCATGATGCAGGCTGTGCATGTCGACTCGGGGCTTCCATGTGAGAGGGCTTACGTAGAGACACTTCTGATGGAGATTACTGCATTTGTCCGGGTCTCTCACATCACATTACCCAAAAACAGAGAAGCACAGGCCTGTCTCGCGGCTCAAATCCCCACTTGATAAGAGTGTGAGTTCAGGCTGTCAAGTTAAAGTGCCTGTGCGCTGCACACTCACTGTCAAACACAAAATGCTACACACACTGCGCACAGACGAACTGGAGCAGAAAATCTGACTCTTCAGTTCTGGTAATGTTTGAAGAGTGTCAAAATATAAAATATGGAACAATATATGATCGTTCCGTGTAAAATCGACAGCTCTGAATCTACAGTCTGATCGGATTATCAGTGTTCAAAACTGTTGCAAAAAGCTGCCTTGCTTGGTAACAGTAAGTTAAAGTTATATTGAAAATTGTTACATTTATTACTCATTCGTAAAAATGAACCACAATTAATAATTTCGAAAAAATATGCTGCCATTCAAAAGTTCTCCTATGCTCACTCAGGTCAGACTACATTGATTTGAATAAAAGTACAGTAGTTTTAATTTATCTAATATATGTAAAGTAATCTATTTCTGTGATGCAAAGCTGAATTTTCAACATAATTACTGCAGTCTTCAGTGTCACATGATCGTTCTAATATGCTGATTTGCTGCTCAAGAAACATTTATTTTTGTATGTTAAAAACAGTTGTGCCGCTTCATATTTTTGTGGAAACTGTAATACAATGTTCAGGATTCTCTGATGAAAATTTAAAGTTCAGCATTTATTTCAAATAACTGCTGAGATTTAAAATGTTTATAACCTCGTAAATGTCTTCACTGTCACATTTGATCAATTGAATGCATCCTTGTCGAATAAAAATATTTCTTTAAAATGTTTTCTTTAATATTTCTTTAAAAAAATATCAACCGTACTTTTGAACGCTAGTATAATAAAAATGAATAAAATAATTAAACATAATTAAAAGTAATTATATATGAAATATTGGTTTATTTTATTATTATTATTGCCAGTATAGTACATCTCTCAAAGGGTTAGTTCACCCAAAAATGAAAATTCTGTCATGAATTACTCACCCTCATGTCGTTTCAAACCCGTAAGACCTTCGTTCATCTTCAGAACACAAATTAAGGTATTTTTGATGGAATCTGAGAACTGTCCCGGCATAGACAGCAACACAACTGAAATGTTCCCAAGTCCAGAAACGTAAAAAGAAACGCAAAATAAAAATAAAAACGACTTTATTCAACAATTCGTCTCCTCCGTGTCACCCTGGTGCCATTTTGGAGAATATCCGCTGGACGTTGCTGTTCTGTGTCAGCTGCGTCACACGGATACGCTGTTTTCGTTCAGATCAAATCACAACAACGTAGGAAACAGATCCGGCGTGACGCAGCTGACACAGAACGGCATCCGTTGTTTACGTCCAGCGGATTTTCTCCAAAATGGCACCAGGGTGACGCGGAGGAGACGAATTGTTGAATGAAGTCTTTCTTTTTTCTTTTGCGCACAAAAAGTATTCTCGCAGCTTTGTATAATTGCGGATGAACCACTGACGTCACTTGGATTATTATACAGATC